TTTTATATTATTACTTATATTATATATTATTCCTTTCTCTCCAAGGCTAGATTAATTTTATTACGGTAAAAATATGCTTCATTGTGGAGCTGTACTTTTATATTTTTCTGCCCATTAGAACACTTCTAAAACAGCAAAGTAATAACACGTGGATATTTTTAGCTAGCATAGAATTGATTACATGTATACGTTAAAACAGCTGAATATCTTTTGCTTAATTTCACTATTACCATGGATGTTACTATAGCGACAGTCATACTGAATATGTACGTGTTGTGATAAATAATGATTTAGTTGTCATGTGATAAATATTGCAAATGCTGCCGGAAATGACGTAATTTGAAAAAAAAACAAACATACTGCCTAAATATTTAGTATGCATAGTTTAATTTCAGCACATTTTGCAACATGTACATATGTATTTTCGTCGCCGTGTTAACTCGTATTATCATTTCCATTGTCTACGTTACCCCGTTGACAATGGTGTAAATATCGAAATTATTCTGTAATCAATACCTTGGCACTGAGTTCTTTCCACAGGAGATAGGCAATCACATGTATGTATGTGGCCTTGAACCTCTGTATTGCAACTACTTTTCAAACAACGGTTTGGTTCTACTGCACGATGTCAAATATTTGGTTTTTATCTAGACCCCAATCCGACAAAGATGTATATTAAGTTTAGCTAACATGCCATTTTGTTGTTACACTACTGATGTGTATCTACTTTAAGACATGATAGATACAATATATATTTATAGCAAATCCTAATGTACGAACACTCACTATTACTAGTCGAACTTTAAGTTGAATCTAGCATGACCAGCAACGTTTAAGTTTACAACAAGTTGTGCGATCACACACTTTCCTTGGTATACTGAACTATTAAACTCTACTCAGAGGACAGCTGTGCTTGAAATTCCTAATTAAAATGTCATTGGATTGGCGATGAGTCATATTATCAATGATATTCAAGTTGTTTTGCCTGCTGTCCCAAATAAATAACTTATCAATGCTAAAAACCAGTTTGTACTGGTTTGAAGTGGTTCTGATCAGAAGATTACTATGCCCCAGGCCTTCTATGCTATTTCCGAATCGATACATTGGTGGAATTAATCTCGTTGTCCGGACCCCGAACACGGACGTTGCTCATCGAAAGAACATCGTTCACTCCAAAACGTCGACTCCACATACGTTGTCAAAACATTACAATGCACGTTAAATGGCCAGTAGAACTCCTGTGTGTGTCCCTGAGTGTTACTTGACGACGATGCGTTCTCATAGTGAAGACATTATATTTATTTTATTACCTTTAGTGTGTAATATTCATTTTTTATCATGTTTGCTTCCGTATGTGCCCAGACTCATTAGTTCAAGGTTGTTTGCATCGATGTCATCTCGGCGACTAGGTTGTGAAGAGATATGTTCACCACGGACACCTGCATACAAACATTAAACCAGGTGTCCTCATCGCAACGAGTACCGAATATCAATGCGAAAATTGGCTCATTGTATATTTCTACCTTGGGTGTACGTGCCAACTAGTTGATACCAAACTGATGTTGGTGATGATGATGTTCTAAGTAGTTATTAAACGGTCGAGGTATCACCTTAAAGAACGAAACTTGAGAGAATGGGCGAGGGCAATACCGGTGTAACTGAACTAGTTTTTTTGTATTATGCATCTCAGGTGTTTGTATTTTGATCTGTGGGGGGAAATAACGGGATCATTGTTTCCTTTCGTTCTTTCTCAATTTGATAGGACTCTACACAAATATTTATTTGGGGTGTTTTTATTTTTTTCGCATTTTCACCAGTTTAGCCGCATCCATTCTGAAACATGTAGAATGAACATACTGTGGCTCCCGTGGATATTGTCCCAAATTCTAAATTTGTGAACGAATTGTTGATTTTATCCGAACAATTCATTTTATGGGGTTAAAGTTAGCTAAACACCAAAAAGAACAAAACGGTATATATGTATATGTATATGTGCCAGTCAATGCATAACATAGTGTTTTTAATTACAGTTAAAAAACATAATTTTAGGTCGTTGTATCCGTTGCAATGCATGATGCAGCGTACCAAGCAATGCACAAAGCAACGTCAGTTGTCTCACGAATGACTACGAGCTCGTTTGTAGTAAACGGTGCGATATCACGTCGCCAATATGTATCAATATATTTTTACGGCTATTCAAAATTACGCTTCTTGGATTGCCATAATGCCAAAGTTAATGGTATCGTAATCCAAACAATCGAAACTAACGGGATGTAAAAAAAAGTCAAATTACAGGATTTACGCTAACAGTCCCCTCACGCGCAGAAGAGAATAGGCGACAAATCGTGTTTAGTTGTCACGCGCGAACTTTTTGCTCACGAATACCTCCAAATTTATCCGATGTTAAGGAAATAATCCCATGAATCACATCGTATAAAACGGCTTTAACATCAACAGAGGATTCAGAATTACTCCAAATTTAAATAACATGTGTGACGTGGAAACACGCCGACATGATCAACGGCAATGATAAAAAAGATTAAACATTGAAAATTAATTCAGTATGGTAATTCACAGCTTAAGTATATATTTAAATACAATGAAACGGATAACACTCCTGATCCCATCACATATGTTACCATTACAGATTTTTTATTGCAAGCATGCACGACGCAATATTGTTTATTGAACATTAAATACAATTTGTATTACGCTATGTATATCATTACATTTTAGATAAATAATTTTCTAATGTAACACATGAAGATGTGAGAATTGTGGTTTCTATTAAGGGGATCGCGATATAATTTCAATATTTATTTATCAATTGATTGTGTCAAGGGTAGCAGTAGACAACGCCGGTTGCAGTGTGTCTTCTTCTTCCTTGGTTGTGTCTTCTAGGAATCACATTGGTGAATTACGGACAGCTGAAATAAATATGCATAATTAGTAAACATGTACGAATGTCTGTATCATATCATCGAATATTTTGTTTTCTCAAAACCAGGACGTATCCCGCACCTATATCAAAATACAACGACAAGCTACAATCTCCTTATGGATTTTTTTTATTTAAAAAAAAAAACCATACACATTCACAATATTAGCGGATTTTCTGTTCTCTATGGTTATCAGAAATTGGACATGCAAACAGACAAACTAATATTACAGCACGAAACACAGGATTCAAACTCGCGATCACGGTAATCACTAAGCCGCTGTATGCGGGCGCGCTACATACCGCGCCGCGCACACTGCGCAAAACACGCGGTTCGAAATGACGTATAGTGGACACCGTCCCACAGCAACTAAATGGTAACGCACGAGTCGAATCTCAGACTTACCAAGCAAAGCATATGGCTAAGCGGTCGTGGTTCGAATGAACTTTACTTGGTTAAAATTGATCTCATGGACATCTGCCCACCATGCCAAAA